AAAAAGAAAAGTCTTAAAGCCTTTTTTTCTTTTTACAAAAGAAACTATTTTTTTTCAGGGCTATTGTCCTACAAATTCTTAATATAAAAAAAAAAAGAATCTGTCATTTTCCCCCCACCCATCTCCCAATTCGCTCTTTTGTAAAACGCACCGAACAAAAGCAAGATAATTCAGTTCGCTTTTGCCACTTCAATGCCAGGCTTGTTTGTCGAGCGCTATAAAAGCGAGGCCGCTTGCTGTCCCAAAATCATCACACTGCAGGTGTCTTCCTAGAATTCCACAACTCAAAATGCTGTCCGCCATTTGCTGTCTCTTAGTCTTGCCTCTGGCATGGGCCGGTTTTGGTGGTGAGTAGCAGATCTCTTGAGAATTTAATCCGTAGACTTCTGGCGTCAGTTTCAAACCAGAGTTTCTCAACCGGTGCGCCCGGCCGAACTGATGCGCCCCGAAAGGTAGCCAGTTGCGCTCCGAATTAACATAGGTACTTCCACGAGATCACAAAAAAAAAAGAGCATAACATGATGAAAAAGACGCCAAACTTGACGAAAACAAAATTTTATCATCTAAATGTTTATGTTATTATTAAGAGGAAATATCAAAGTTTATTTTAATTATTTAAAAAAAAATTTCCTTCTTTTTAGAACAATCTGAATTTTCATTTTAAAATCCTTGTTTCTCTTTGTATCACCGGAACTAGTAAAATAACATATACAATTTTTAGCACGTTTTTTTTTGTATGACACATTAATTTGGAAAATGTTGCAAAAATAAAAATAATTGTCGGATTAACATGAAACTTTCAGAAATTATTCACAGATGATTAATTTATGAAGTATTTTTATTTAAAAAAAAAATCTTAATTTTTAAAAGCTAGAGACATCAAGCACATAGCTTTCATGTCTAAATCAAATCTTTGGCATTTGATATTTTAAAATGGATGCTAAATTACTTAAATGTTTAAGAAGGAGTGGATAATCTTTTCCGTTTTGCCTTCCTCAAAGGGATTTAAATTTCCTTAACGGCCTCTTTAAAAATAGAATCGTCATAAATCCCTAATCTTATTGGGGATGCTAAACCAAAATTTTATATTTTTAAATTTCAATTTTTCCTTATTTAAAATTTAAGTTCGCCTCAGAGTTATAATTATTCTACGAGGACGCCCTGAAGTCAAAAAAAGAAAAAAAAAAAAGCTGTTTTAAACCGTTGACTTCTTTTTTCCAGCTTGTCATAAGCAATACTTATGAATTATAATTTTACAAAGTGACATTTTCATTGAAATATGTTGAAAGATTTCAAAGTTTTCAACTGAAAGCAAGAAAATATGAACTTTAAGCAAACTTTCTTCTTTTCGCATAATGTAAGATGAATATGAACAGATTTACATCGATATATAGGTAGATATGAACAAATTTATATAAATAGATATGAACAGACTATATATATATATATATATATATATATATATATATATATATATATATATATATATATATATATTAGAATATATTATATATTAGACTGTATTTGGTCACCCTGTGTGCATGTTGTGTGTTTTTGTGTGTGGGGTTGCGATCTATTTAGTTCGGGTTTAAAAAATGCCGATAACTAATTTATCATCTCGCTGGACTAACCTTAATTGTTTTATGACCCTTCGCGCAGAACTCTTCATTGCCATTTCAAGAGGGAAATTCAGATTACCAACACACAATCAGAAAATGTCTCATATCGAGAATATTTAACATTGAACATGAGGAAAAATTAATTATTATTTTTAATAATATGTGGAAATCTCCACTTTTACCTGAAGACGGTCGCGAGACCAGAAACGCGTGTCGTGAAATTATATAAAACAAAGCATAATATTTTTTCTAAATAAATCCACATTACAACCAAAACGTTTTGGCACCTCTCTTCTCTTCTTTCTAATATACATACTTTTCTCTCGTTGGAACCACTACATTAAATTTCTTATATATATATATATATATATATATATATATATATATATATATATGTGTGTGTGTGTGTGTGTGTGTGTGTGTGTGTGTGTGTGTGTGTGTGTGTGTGTGTGTGTATGAACTAGTGTCTGCTCTAGATTTACATAGATATATAGATAGATATGAACAGATTTATATAAATATAGATGATATATGAACATATATATATATATATATATATATATATATATATATATATATATATATATGTATGAACATAGATGGACATAAAAATAGGTATGAACCAGTGGCGACTTTCTGTTATCAATGTTTGTTGGGCTCATTACAATCTTTTAACAAAATATACTATTGGTATAACTTAGAATCTAAAATGATTCGTTTACTCTAACTAAAATACATAATTTTTAAAAATCTCTCTGTATGAATTTAAAAAACAACAACACATTTTTGTATTTTAATATTAATTGCAATAATTCTATTAAAATAAAAATTTATTTAAAATTTTTTTTTCAGTCATGTAAGAAAAAAGAGTGAGGACAAAGTCTTTAATATGTTTGTCTTTTTATTGCACCTTTTTATTTTTTACTGTTTTATAGCCTGGTTATCAAGTCACTGATGGTAGAGATAGAAATAATTGACTGATATCATATTTCCTCGACACTACTCCAGTCACATTCCTCACCTCAACCCTCCTGTCGCCGAGTTAAAGCTGCCACTTTCTTTGAATTTCGTAGACTTTAAGTCGGGATAAATTTAATTTGCCCCTTTTCAATCGATACATTTCACTAAAAAAACAGCAACAAAAAACTTATACTGTATGGAATAAATTATTTAAAATGAACATTTGAAAACAATACGTTGAAATAAAAATGTGTTCTCTGAAAAACAGGGTATACAAGTTATTAAAGATTTTTAAAAGATTATTTATAAAATTAAAACAAGAAATACATTGCCTATTAAGTATGTCTCCAGCCTGATAGGGCTCAGATATATGCAGCCCGACTAGCGACGTTAATTTTATTTCATGTTTTTTGTTCTTTTTTATTATGAACAATATCATTGAAACATATTTCGGTCAATATTTTGAGGTACGGAGTTAAAACAATTAATTTTGGATCTAGCTGAAATCAAGAATGAAAATGACGCACTATGAAAGATTTGAAATAGATATACTTGGATGTTGACTCACTTGGGCTAAGCCCCGAGTCCCCACTGAATGAACAGACTTAACTAGCTAGCTAGCTTGCTATATAGATAGATATGAAGAGACTGGGACAGATCGTAGATATAAACAAACTTAGATTTTACTCAGTCTCTTCATATCTATCTATCTATCTATCTATCTATCTATCTATCTATCTATCTATCTGTTTTAGTCTCTTCTCTATCTATCTCAATCTCTTATCTATCTATCTATCTATCTATCTATCTATCTATCTATCTCAGTCTCTTCTCTTCTCTATCTATCTATCTATCTATCTATCTATCTCAGTCTCATCTCATCTCTATCTATCTATCTATCTATCTATCTATCTATCTATCTGTTTTAGTCTCTTCTCTTCTCTATCTCAATCTCTTATCTATCTATCTATCTATCTATCTATCTCAGTCTATTCTTTTATCTATCTATCTCAGTCTCTTATCTATCTATCTATCTATCTATCTATCTATCTATCTATCTATCTATCTATCTCAGTCTCTTCTCTTATCTATCTATCTATCTATCTATCTATCTATCTCAGTCTATTCTTTTATCTATCTATTTATCTCAGTCTCTTATCTATCTATCTATCTATCTATCTATCTATCTATCTATCTATCTATCTATCTGAGTCTCTTCTCTTATCTATCTATCTATCTATCTATCTATCTATCTATCTATCTATCTATCTCAGTCTCATCTCTTATCTATCTATTTATCTCAGTCTCATCTCTTCTGTATCTATCTATCTATCTATCTATAAAGATGTCCGTTCTATATTTCACGTTCGTCTTCCATATCTTTTTTATTTATCAATTCTCAATATTTTCTAGCCCCCAATAAGCAGATCGTTGCTGGGCGGGCTGCCGTTAACTGCGAATTTCCTTCTATCGTTCACTTGATCATCAAAAAGAAAGACGGTACCTTTTCATGCGGTGGTACCCTCATCGACTCCCTACATGTCTTGACTGCTGCCCACTGCTTGTGAGTATTATTTAATCATATTTACATTTCTCTTGAGACAAGACGTCTTCGTGCTAAGCTATACTCGTATGGCTGTTCGAGTATTACCAGAGTAGGGGGCCTCGAAACCTGTGAGAGCCCAACTTCCGATCTCATAAGATGGTTCTTCTTCTTGTTTTTCTTCTATGTGCTGCGTCTCTTCAGATTATTGGCGACCATGGCTCTCCACATCTTCTTTGTATCTATCTTTAAGCCATGTTTTTTTTTTCTTTTTACTGACCCACCCACTCCGTTATGCCATACAGTCTCATCAACTCGTCAAGTAGGTGGTCTACTCCACCCTCGTCACTTTTATCTTTGATATGCACTCCTCCTCCTCCTCATCACCTCCTCCTCCTCCTCCTCCTCCTACTACTACTACTAATAATAAGAAGATAGGAAGAAGAGTTTATCAATCTTTTGTTCTGAACCCTATTCTTTTTCTTGTGCCGTTTCCGTTCAGGACATGAGCGATCATAGCCCTCCACAACTTCCTCTTAGCAATGTATTTCTTTTTACTATCCCTCCCACTACCTGTTTTGCCATACATTTTCATCAACTCGTCTACTGCCCCCGCTGGTATATACTACTACTACTACTACTACTACTACTACAAATAATAATAATAATAATAATAAAAATAATTAGAAGAAGTAGAAGAAAATGAAGCTAGGAAGAAGAGTTTCTAATTCTTATTTTTTGTTCTGACTCCTATTCTTTTTTCCTATGCCGTTTCCGTTCAGGAAATGGGTGGTCATAGCCCTCCACAACTTCCTATCGTTTGTGCTTCTTAGCAATGTTTTTCTTTTTATTCTAACCGTTCTGTTTACGATTAACATCAGCTCCTTAGGTAGGTTGATCGATGTCTATCTCTGCTCCTCTTGCTCTCAGTATGTCCCGTGAGTGTCAAAGTTTCCAAGCCCTCTTTCCTCGTTGTTATGCGTCCCAGAAACTTCAACTGTCTCTTTTAGATTCTACGCATACGTAGCTTTTTTTTGTTGCATTTGTTCTCCTTAAAACTTCCTCGTTGCTTGCATGCGCCGTCCATTCTCAGCATCCTTCTATAGGGCTGCGTTTCTGCTGCATCAAGTCTAATCTTCACCTGAGAGGAAATTGTCCCGCATTCACTGCCGTAAAAGGGAGTTGGTATTGGAGTGGCAGATTGCATTTTCTCCTATCCGCACAGTGCTCAAAACACATACACCCGCAAACACACACAAACAAACGCACACACATGCATGCACAGGAATGCATGCGCACACATGAACGCACACACAAGCACGCACATAAATGCGCGCACACACATGGACGCACACAGATGCACGCAGGCACACATATGTACAAATTTAAATGCAATGTCCATCGTTATCTTCTCTCTTCTTAATTCCTGTTTTTTTTTTCATTGTTCTCTCTCCTTAATAATGTTTTGCTTTTTATATTTTCTCACACTCATTAACCCTCTTGCGCCTTAGTGGCTTTATTGCCTTGTTTATGGTGAAATGATAAAAAAGCGCGTACACGTTAACAGCAGCATTTTTTTCATCGAGGACATATTGCGTAATAAAATTGTCTACGATTCTTTGACGTCCAAAACAGCAACACAGCAACGTTAAACGTGTTTAGATGAACACTAGGCATGTGATCTGGACACTTGATTTAAGTATACGTATACTGACGTGTTTTTTTTTTAATATACCAATACATGTACATATAAAAGAGCGACTGGCTGATGGCGAGGATGATTCTGGTGGGAGTCTTCGGATGCGGACATTGTTCGGGAAGACGATAGATGACAATAATTTGGTGAGGGCAAATGCAAACGCCAGGTTTCTCTCGGGTCTTTTCTCTTGTTTTCTTTTATTTTTCATTGTTTTTTTTTTCTTTTTCTTTCATTTGTTTTTTTAATTTGTTTTTTCCTTTCTTTTTGCATATCACTTTTCTCTTTCGTGTTTTCGTTCTCTTTTCTCTTTTTTTCTCATTTTTTTCTTTCATTTTTCACATTTTTTTGTTTCTTTATTTTTTCTCTTTTTCTTTCTCTTTCTATTTCTTCACCTTTTCTTTCTCGTTTTCTTTCTTTTTCTTTCTCTTTTTTTCATTTTTCCTTTTCTCTTTTTTTTTCTTTTTTCTTTCTTTCTCTCTTTTCTTTCTCTTTTTCCTTTCTTTTTTTTCCTCTCTTTTTTCTTTCTTTTTTCTTTCTTCCTCTCTTTTTCATTTTTCTTTCTCGTTTTCTTTCTCGTTTTCTTTCCCTCTTTTTCTTTCTCTTCTTTTCTTTCTTTTTTCTTTCTTCCTTCCTCTCTTTTTCATTTTTCTTTCTCGCTGTCTTTCTTTTTCTTTCTCTCTTTTTCTTTCTCTCCTTTTCTTTCTTTTTTCTTTCTCTCTTTTTTCTTTCTTTTTTCTTTCTCGTTTTCTTTCTTTTTTCTTTCTTCCCCTCTTTTCATTTTTCATTCTCGTTTTCTTTCTCTCTTTCTTCTTTCTCTTTTTTCTTTCTTTTTTTCTCTCTCTCTTTTTTCTTTCTCTCTTTTTCTTTCTCTTTTTTCTTTCTTTTTCTTCCTTTTTTCCCTTTCATTGCTGTTTTCTTTTCTTTCTTTTTTTGTTTCTACTTTAGTGGCGCCGGAGTTAAGAGCGTTCAAGTCAACATTGGTACGAATGAGAATAACAAAGCCGGAAAGTTTTTACTCAACGCCGAAGAAGTCATCACTCATGGCGGATTTATTGAGCGTCCAATGCGTAAGTCTTTGATTTTTTGAATGCTTTTCTTCTTTACGCGCCGTGTCCCTTCAGGACGTAGGCGATCATGGCTCTCCACAATTTCCCCTTCTTCGTAACTCTTAAAAAACTTTGTCTTGTTGTTATCGCCATCCATGTATATAAGCTCACTAAATATATTATTTACATTATTCGGACTATTGTCCTCATCTTTGTCGCCATATCTATTACAACGTTTCGGCCGTTGTACGCTCTGGCCTTCTTCAGGTGATTGGAATGTCGAACTGAACCCTTTATTTCGCTCACTGGGGTAGACTGTTCTAGTTCCACGTGCCTTGGTTTTTCTAATGAATGCCAGTTATCAGTTATCTACTGTTAATTTCCCTCTGAAAATACCCAAAGAGTGTGAGTTCAATACCCGGTTAAGGCAGTGGAGAACAAGATAAACCTTTCCAAAACAGAAACTATAATCTGGAATTGGAATGAAAGCAGTGCTGGTCTCTACACTGAATCCACCATAAATCTTCAGTGGAATTTATAAATTGTAAACACTTCAAATTATATCAAATTTTGTATAGGAAATAATGGAAGTCGAACTCAATATAGAAGTTGTGTCGAAAACTAAAAGAAAATGCGACAAAACCGATGTACTAACCTAAGAACTGAGGCCTCATCAGATCTCGACTCTCATGTGGATGTCATGCATGACATCTCATTCAGAAATGTCTAAACTATCATCTCTATACAACCAATTCAAGTTGTGTTCTTAAATAGCCTCATCATATCTAGACTCTTATACGGATGTCATTCATGGCGTCAAACTCTGTTCAGAAATGTCCAAACTATCAAATTTACGCAACCATTTTATCAGACCAATGATTCAAAATGACCCCAAGCAGTGAAGTCTGTAGGTCTTAAAGAAGACAATCTTTCATCAAACCCTGGCGCTACACAATCACAAAGAACTTAACCAAATAACGACAGCAAAACGTAAATATAATCCTTGAATTGAATAGGAATTTTGATATGGTTAATAAATTCTACCTGTGATATGGGCTACGTAAAAAGCAAGCTTCCAAAAAGGTTTGCTAAGCACTAAAAAAATAAAGATAATGAAGGAAAAGTGTAGTCATTACATTTTTTATTTTAACTGTGCTATAAAATCATTTTTTACTAAAGGTCAGATGTACTATGTTCTTGGTGAGTATGGTGCTTACCTGCTGCAGGACTTCAAATAATAGTGCAACCCAGTTCATAAACATATTTTCTTCTTTGGGTGATTTTTTTAAAAGCTTCCGTGAAAATCGATATGTTTGCTGTTTAGATGCATTTTCTCCCCCACTGATCTCCATTTTCCATCTTGTTTTACTGAAGCCTCAAATTTGATCTCATGAAAGATGTGACTAATTTTAATTATCATCTATATGATATGTAAGTTGCCAAAACGGTTCAGTGTAGCTCAATATCTTATGTCATGATTTTCTCGCCGAGTTACATGTGACATTTGTTTTAGGCACATCGGCGTTGTGTAATAGTTAGCAAGCTGGTCTCGCGAGATTACTTGAGACTGAATAGTGAGTTCGACCTTCACTGGGTGCCCCACACTTTCGGCCTTGTTCCATATATGAGCTAAGCGTGGAAAATCACCATTCCATTGGGTACTTCGACATGGTGTAATCGTTGAAGTAATTAGGCATACATAATAAGAAAGAAAGTGATCCTCACTGGGTGCCCCATACTTTCGACCTTGTTCCTTATCTGAGGTAAGCTTAGAAAATCACCATTCTATTGGTCACTTCGACGTGGTCCAATGATTAGCAAGCTTGTCTCGCTAACCATTGTCGCGATGCTCTCTGGGTGCTCCATACTTTCGGCCTTGTACCATATTTAGGGTACGCTTAGAAGATCACCATTTTAATTGTTGCCGTTTTTAAGTCTTCAATGTAAATCGTTATGTTTGCTGTTCAGATGAATTTTCTCCTCCACTGATCTCCATTTTCCATATTGTTTTACTAAAGCCTCAAATTTTATCTTATGAAAGTTGCGAATAATTTTAATTATCATCTATATAATATGTAAGTTTGGAGCACTTTGACGTGATGTAATGGTTAACAAACATGACTTCCGAGATCAATTATAACTGAATATTGACTTCGATCTTCACTGAGTGCTCTATACTTTTGGCCTTGTGTTGCATCTAAGCTACGCTTAGAAAGTCAACATACTATTGAATAGGAATTTTTATGAGTTTAATAAATCCTACCTGGGCTACGTGAAAAGCAAGCTTCCAAAATTTGTTCAAGGCCTTTATTGGTTTACTAAGCACTAAAAAAGATAATGAAGGAAAAGTGTAGTCATTACATTTTCTATCTTAACTGTGCTATAAAATCATTTTTTTACTAAAGGTCAGATGTACTATGTTCTTGGTGAGTATGGTGCTTACCTGCTGCAGGACTTCAAATAATAGTGCAACCCAGTTCATAAACATATTTTCTTCTATGGGGGAATATTTTAAGGCTTCGGTGGAAATGGTTAAGTTTGCTGTTCAGATGCCTTTTTTCTTCCATCTTGTTTTACATTCTCCAGCTGTTTTTTTTTTGTTTTTTTTTTTACTAAAGCTTCAAATTTTAGCTTATGAAATAATATGTAAGTTACCGAAACGGTACAGTGTAGCTACACGAATTAAGACACTCCTATAAGGTGCTAACTTAAAGAACATCAACATCTTACGTCATGATTTTCTCGCCGAGTTACATGCGACATCCACTTTGGACACTTCGACGTAATAGTTAGCAAACTTGTCTCGCTAGATCCATTACGACTAAATAGTGACTTCGGTCTTTACTGGGTACCCTATACTTTCGGCCTTGTGCCACATCTAAGCTAAGCTTAAAAAATCATTCTATGGGGTATTTCGACATGGTGTAAGGGTTCAAGTGAATAGGCGTACATAATAAGAAAGAAAGTGATCCTCACTGGGTGCCCCATACTTTCGGCCTTGTGCCATATCTGAGCTAAGCTTAGAAAATCACCATTCTATTGGGTACTTCGGCGTGGTCTAATGGTTAGCAAGCTTGTCTCGCTAAGCATTGTCTCGCCGGGTGCCCCATACTTGTGCGATATTTAAGGTACGCTTAGAAAATCACCATGTGATATCCATTTTATTTGTTGCTTTTGGAAGTTCTGATGTGATGTAGTTTCTGATATCTGGTACAGTTCTTTGTTTGTGATTGTGTAGCGCCAGTCCACAGAGTTCGAAGAAGGATGATCTTCGCCAAGATCCGCAGGCTTTACTCGCTGGAAGCCATTTTAATTACTGATCGGAGAAAGACAATTTAGACATTACTGAACGGGTTTGGTACTATGCATGGCATCCATATGAACATCTCGATCTGACGAGAATGTTTAAGAACGTGGCCCGAAGGCAGTTTTGAAACAGTGAAATTTACACAAATAATATAGGATTCGACTGGTTTAGTTTTCACACGGTACCATATATAACATTAAAAGAAAAAAATAACAAACGTTGTATTGAAATTTAATTCCAGGTAATGACATTGCCATAGTTAAACTGAGCAAACGCGTCCAATTCTCCACCTGCGTGAAGGCCGCAACTTTGGCAGTTACCGGTCAAACCTTTGATCATAAGACCTGCGTCGCTGCTGGATGGGGAAAACTTGGCTGTAAGTTGTTTTCAAGAATATTTTTTCCGTTTCGCTTTCTTCTGGCTAATCGCTTCAAAACATTTTCAGCTATTATTAATTTTAAGTGGAATTATTTTATTCTGTTTCACATGCTTTTTACCTATTAATAGTAGATGTACTAGTCTTAACGTATCATAATCTTATGGTATTGGGTGCAGTAGTCTTGTAGTTTATTACATGAATCATTACCAATTATTATTGCTTTTTGACTATTTTGTATACTAATAGATGTAGTAGTCTTAGTTGGTCAGGATTTCTAGCATTAAAATTCTTCTATTTCCCATGCTTTTTACCTATTAATAGTAGACGAAATAGTCTTAATGTTTCTGTATCTTGTGCTATTGGATGTAATAGTCATCTATTTTCTTAGATGAATCATTAGCAATTATTTCTTTTTGACAACATCGGTTGCTTTCTCCCTACTAATTGTAGATGTAATAGTCTTAACATGTCTAAATCTTACAGTATTAAATGTAAATTTCTTTTAATGTTTACATGAATCATTACCAATTATTAATACTTTTGGGCAATGTCGTTTTTATTTTTGCATTCTATCTGTAGATAGTCTTAATTAGTCTGGACTTTATTCGTATTCAATGTCTTCTAATGTTGTAGATGAGGCTACATCTTTCTTTCGACCTACAAATAAAGGCATAATTATATTAACATTTCCAAATCTTATTGTATCAGGCATAAAGCTACAACACTTTTTACTGCTGACATGAAGTGGAACGATTATATTGAATCACTTACTACATCTGCTGCTAGAAAAAAATCGATTCACTGTCATACTAGACAATTTCTCTCTCCGGAATCTATCTTACACATTTATAAGTCTACCATTCGTCCATGCATTGAATATTGCTGCCACATGTGGTCTGGTGTTTCTGTTGCTTCTGCTATTTAGTTAGAGGTTCTTGATAAAATCCAAAGACGAATCTGCTATGTTATAGGTCCTAACTTGACCTGGCATCTCGTCTTCAGCCACATTTCTACCGTCGCAACGTAGCTTCCCTGCACCTTGTCTACAAACATTTTCATGGCAATTGTTCTGATAAGCTTTCCTCTTCGGTACCGAGGCTTTACGAATGTAAGCGCATTACTCGTTTGGCAGTATTTGACAGTTGAAATGGCTAGATGTAATCGTAGGTTCTATGTTGAGAGTTTCTTCTCTCGCACTTCTTGCTTGTGGAACTCTCATCTTGCTTCTTGCTTTCCATCCAACTTTGATCTTCAAAAGTTTAAACGCAATGTCAATCGTTATCTTCATTCTTTCTAATATTCCTGATCATTAATTGTCCTCTCTCCTTAATAATGCTTTGCTTTTTCTCATATCCTTTCACACTCAGCAAGCCCTTGCGTCTTAGTGGCTTTATTACCTCGCTTGGAGTGGAATGATTAAAAAAATAATCTAATTACCTAAACGAATTACTATTAGTTGCTTATACTCTTATATAATCGATTCATTTTTCTTTAATTATTGGATCGTATCCTTGGATATTTTGGTTTCTCTTTTCTTGATAAGCATATATATATAGTATGGGAAGAACACACACACACACACACACACACACACACACACACACACACACACACACATATATATATATATATTTCAACTTAACATCAAGAAGATAATTAGAGAATTAGAAAGTATTATCTAAAAGTTAATATACACCATATGTCTATATTATTCAATGAAACATACTTGGATGAAGTGATGCTGCCTAAATATGCACACACACCACACACACACACGCACACACACACACACACACATATATATATATTATAAATTAACTGATTTAAAGATATGGTTTCATCGCTACGCAGGAATTACCATGTTTCAAAAACAGAAACCAAAAACTTCAATTTCAATTATATTAAATTAAAATCATTAGTTCTGTTTCATCTTCAAACGAATTTTGGAATCGAACCTGTATCCTATACGGAATCCAAAATTCGTTTGAAGATGAAACAGAACTAATGCCTTTAATTTAATATAACTTATTTTAAGTAAATTCCTTTCATATTGAAAGATGAAGGTAAATTATATAATTTCAAAATATAAAGATCATTAAGCTTATTTTGATAAACTTATAAGAATAATTATATAACATTCGAAAAACTAGATGATCAAAAACATCAGAACAATTAACAAAATCATACTATTATAATGGATGCATCATATCCAAATGAAAATAGTGTTCATAATTCATTAGTATTTGATGTGTAAACCTTTACTTTCAATAACAGATTGACATCTTTTGCTACCTGAGTGAATTAATGTCTTGCATTCATTAATGGATATATTTTCTCCCATTCTCTTTTCAAATTAGTCCATAGTTCTTCGTTGATAGTTGGATTCTTTTCCTTAACTCTTTCATTTAACAACTTCCAAACATTATTTTTCCTTGATAAAATGTTCTATGAAGCTTTAAAATAAAAAGTTATTTCACATTTAGACTTTTTCTTAACATCGTTCTGATCTTTATGCTCACTACTGTATATGACAAAGTGGAAAAGCTTTTCAACGGCGCGTTTCGCGGACGTGTGTTAGGTTCGGCGTCTTCTGGTCGGAATCTGAAAACAAATCTGTGCGTAAGGATTTAATTATTATAGGGGATAGATGAAAGTTGATCCAAGATATGCGAGTTGATCCAAAATATGCGAGTTGATCTAAGACAGACCTAACGCCCGATGCATTTTAATATACACGGTGTCCATAAAGTTCGTGTGCACTTTAAACAGTTCATAACTTTATTTGTATTTGCGATAGAAATAACCTATAAAAATGTTATAAAGTTTAATGTACCTAATTTTAAGTATAGCTAAAATAATAACTAATGTGATTACAGGAATTACTGTAAATCAATTGGGAAATGTTTTTTCGTGAACTGCAAAATCGTATTATCCTTTGTATTGCTAATGATGGAGGACATGTGGAAACTTAAATAAAATTTTTAAAAAATTTCAATATTTCAATATTTAATATAAAATTTCAATAGAAACCTTAAAAAATATAGATTTACTTCTTTCTAATCTTATTTTACAAAATATTTCTATCGCAAATACAAATAAGGTTATCAATTTTTTAAAGTGCGCACGAACTTTATGGACACTGTATATTTGATAACGGTAGACGTTTGATTTTCTGTTTTTTTTTTTTTTTTTTTTTTTTTAAATGAAGTCTTCAACTGGTATCTGATCTTATGACTTCTTACTTTTGCAGATGAACTGCCCTCTACTCACGTCTTACAGAAAGTCTCCATGCCCATCATCCCGCAGGAAGATTGCGCAAGAAAAATGGACTATGCCAGACTAAATAACCAGCACATTTGTGCTGGGGATTTCTCCTATGGTGGTGCAAGCACATGCATGGTAAAAAAAAAAATAATTTTTGATCCTGTTTTGGTCATCTGGGTCTCAATGCGTTTTCAAGAGCGAATATTGCTTACGACCATATCACGTTGAAAGTTAAGCAACGTGGCGTCTCGTCAGTATCTAGATGGGTAACTAATCGGGAATACCAGATGCTGTAAGATTGGATGCGTGGGTGGTGTAACGGCTCGGAATTGGAATTCGAAGGGCCGAGTTCCAATTCCAGCCGGGTTAGTTATATTCCCTTACGTGAAAATGTCTTTGGGAAAAAGAAATGAATTCACCTCTTCTCCTCCCAGATATGGGTTAAATAGTAGGTCTTGTACCAGAAAATCATTATTATCGCCAAAAAATTCTTACAATCCCAAAATATGTTTCGGCTTTAAACGACCTTAAAAGGTTGACAGCCCACTATTTATATTATTCGGACTATTGTCCCCATCTTTGTCGCCATATTTATCACAACGTTTCGGCCGTTGTACGTTCAAGCCTTCTTCAGGTGGTTGGAATTTCGAACTGAACCCTTTATTTCGCTCACTGGGGTAGACTGTTCTAGTTCCATGTGCCATGTTTAATGGATGTCAGTTATCAGTTATCTCCTGTTAATTTCCCTCTGAAAGTTCTCCATTGCCTTAACCGGGTATTGAACTCACAACTCTTTGGGCCCTGTCACTGGATCTAACCAACGCCTTTATCCACTGTGCCATGTGTCCTTCATCTTGATATAGGCAGATACAGGTTGATATCCCGTTAAAAAAAAAAAAAAAAAAAAAAAAAAAATAATAGCGAATGTGTAATAGTAGTAGTAGTAGTAATAATAATAATAATAGTGCAATGTATCTTTGAAGATATTCAAAAAGCTGTCAAAATACAAGGACCGTGAAATAGAAATCTCAAAAATGTGGCATATTGGAACATCAACAATCCCTGTTGTAGTTGGAGCCCTAGGACTGGTTGGAAAAGATTCCAGCAGACTAATTGAAGGGATTCCTGGAAGTCCATGCCTCAAGGAGATACAAAAAATTGTTCTGACAAGTACAGCCCACACTTTACGAAGGGCTTTATCTATGTAATTTTTTTTTTGTCTGTGGAAAGTATCATGATGCCATTTCTAACCTTAGGTTCCTGGGCGAGACCCGGAAAGAAATGTGTAAACGCCAAAAATCAAAGAAAATAATAATAATAATAATAATAAAACAGATTGTGCTTTCTTGTTAATGTAGCAATTCCTGCAGATTGTAATGTATGTTTGAAGGTCTTCAAAAACTATCAAACTACAAGGATCTTGAAATGGAAATCTCAAAAACGTGGCACATGCGTACATCAGTTAATCCATTTGTAGTTTGGGCTCTTGGATTGATTGGAAAAGGTTCCGATAGACTCATTGAAAGGATTCCTGGTAGCCCATGTCTTAAAGAAATACAAAAACAACAACAACAACAACAACAAAACAAAAAAAAAAAACAACCAAAAAAACGTGAGAACAAGCTCACACCTTATGAAGAGCATTATATGTAAAATGTGCGTGATCTTAGATTTTGTTTTTTCCCTCAAAAAAAAAAAAAATCCTCAGTGGAAAATATCAGGATGATATTTCTGAGGTTGGGACACAACAGAAATAAAAGGAAATAATAATAATAATAATACTACTGGAATTAGCAAAAAAAAAAAAAAAAGAATATGCCCACAGACATAAGGTAGCGACATGTGTGCATTGCAAGATATGTAAGAAGCACAAAATCAAAACCACTGAGAGATGTTATGAGCACCAACCAGATACAGTTGCCCAAATTAACGATGTAACTATCCTCTGGGACATGCCAATTGAAGCTGACAGGGAAATTATTTTCGCCGGATTGAAGTCACACAAAGAATTGCGTCGTGGTGTCTTTAGCAGAACAATATGTTTTGTTTTATTCCATCATATTATTATTGCTTTTTTTAATCCCCAAACTCGGGCTTAATACACTCTTCATTATTATTGTTGATTTTTATCCCAACACTCTGGCTCTATACACTCTTCATTATTACTATTATTTTATTACTAGTTTTATTCTATCTTATTATTGTTGCTTTTTATCCCAACACACTGGCTCTATACACTCTTCATTATTACTATTATTTTATTACTATTTTTGATTCCATCTTATTATTGTTGCTTTTTATCCCAACACTCTGGCTCTATACACTCTTCATTATTACTATTATTTTATTACTAGTTTGATTCCATCTTATTATTCTTGCTTTTTATCCCAACACTCTGGCTCTATACACTCTTCATTATTACTATTATTTTATTGCTAGTTTTGATTCCATCTTATTATTATTGCTTTTCATCCCAACACTCTGGCTCTATACACTCTTCATTATTATTATTATTATTTTATTACTATTTTGATTCCATCTTATTATTGTTGCTTTTTATCCCAACACTCTGGCTCTATACACTCTTCATTATTATTATTATTTTATTCCCATGATTTAACTCCATCTTATTTTGGATTTTTATACCAAAATCAATTTTAATGTCTCCTTATTCCAGGGTGACTCTGGTGGTCCGCTCTATTGTCCGTTCGATGGCCGTATGGTCCTTGCTGGTATCACGTCTTTCGGATATGACTGCGCCATTGATGCTGCCATTTTCACCAGCGTTGCCACCTTCCGCGACTGGATCGACAAAAACCATTGAAAAGCCTAAGAAAAGCCGCTTACAACACAACATCAGGAGCGCCAACCACTTAATGACATTTGACGTTTCAGTTTGCGGCCACGAGTTGAAAGCGAAGCATGGTCCTTTTTTTAGATTCTAAAAAAAAAAAAAAAAAAATTGGCGGAAATTTCTGTTGAATTACATCAATAAATGTTTTCCGAAATGTTCGATTCATTTTTATTATTATTTTATTATATTTTAATATTTACTATTAATTTATTATTTGTTTTATTACGTTTTATTATTATTGCTGTTTTTTTTATTTTATCCAAATACTTTGTGATTCTATTTTGAAAATGTATTTTAACTCCGAACTCTTATGAGTTCATGATGAGATACATTTCCAAAATAGAGCGAGTCCCACTTCTTTGCTTATTTTTCGTCTCATTAATAAAGGTCACAGGCGTGTCTGAAAATTCCGATTTTAAAGTCTTTCTCTTTGTGCTTCAATTTAGTCAAAAGGCCTACTAATATAATATAATATAATAATATAATATAATATAATATAATATAACACACACACACACATATATATATATAAACTGATGAGCGAAACAGTTTGTGATATATATATATTAGTATCATTAATCTTATTGTTAATATTGCTATCATTTTGTTGTCTTTTTATTCCTTAAATTTCATTAACAGGCCTATTAAATCTATATATTATAAGAAGCACACGTTTTGCTTAATTATATACGTATGAGGGTCAGGCCGATAAGTCTCCAGGAAACCGACATCCCGACACCGGCACATGGGATTTGATTATGGTGAAGGCCTCGTGCAGGACCAGCCACACTTTTTGAGGGACGAATACAGAAACCTGGTGCACCGAATGCCAAGGTTCCCAAACGACCCTCCGCAGGTTTTGAATTCAGAGTTGTCCTTCTCCTAGACCAGTTGCCATCCAAGGCTATAGAACCCAGTCTGTCCTGCTATTTTACCCATAGCTGAGGGGAGATGAAGAGGATTCATACCTTTCCCAAGGGTATTAGCATCGTAAGTGAATGTAATGGATCCGACTGGAATTGAACTCGGCTCTGCAATTCCTCAATCCAATCCATTAGCTATATATATATATATATATATATATATATATATATATATATATATATATATATATATATATATATATATATATATATATATATATATATATATATATATATATATATATATATATATATATATATATATATTATATATATATATATATATATATATATATATATTATATATATATTAAAGATGACTGATAAGGCACTGCGATTAAGTTTTTTCAATTTTTCTTGTTGTTGTGGAGATGAACACACCTCTCCAGAATATGGCTTGGATTCGTCCAAATAGCATATATACTGACGCCGAGAACCGTCAGCAGAGACAGTTCGCCGAGAGCGATCCTTATATCCTTACTACAGAATTCAGTAAGACTACGTCGACTCCCAGGGACATTGTATTTCATGATTGTGTCATGTTCATTTCACGGAATGAAGACACAGTAGTGGCGACGAGGATTCGAATTCACACGAAAAAGAAAAAGAAAGAAAGAAAAACATTCCCTCGCTTAGCAAAAAATAGCGGGGGAAGAAAATTAAAAAAAATCACGACAAAGAAGTTCGTGGAGTTCGTATATATTCTTAGGGCGACGCGGAAGTCGATAACTTCCCAGTGTGTATGACATACTGCTATTAGGAAAAAAACAAAAAAAAAAAAAACCTTTTTCTTCCTAGTTAAGGATTACTTGTATGAAAATAATACACTATGGAAGGATTGAAGATAATTATTCAGCACCTATTACAACAAATGCAGTGCGAGCGGATTGAATATCGAGAACAGTTGAAGGCAATCCTGGAAAAGCAACCAACAGGCATTGCGTCAATTAGTGAATTTAATTAAGTCTAAGAAGAAAAAATTACATTCCTATCGTAGCTTCATTTGTGACCTGTTCTTCCACAAACTAAAACAAAACAATATTAGTAGGACCCGTCCATCTCTCAAAATAAGAGTGGCCGCTGTACTCAGTCGATAAACAAAATCAAGAAGCACACTCACTAATGGAATGGGAAAGGTAAAAATAAATGACGGAAAGGGGGAAAATGTTTTTAAACTCAGTGAACAGAAATGTCAGTTCTTTATGGATAAGATTAAATATTTAGGTCAGATAATCGACGAGAAAGGAAGAAGACCAGGTCCCGCAAGATCACGTACCATTAAAGACATCTCCTGACAAATATGGTGACCCTACAATCGGATTAGCAAATTATTATAATATTTATGTGATATGTACAAATTGCGAGCGCCTCTGAATAATTCACTTAAAAAGGGTGCGAAATGAAATTGTCCTATTTCTTTATTTGTTTGTTGATCTCCAGTTTGGAGTGGAAGAAACAAAATTGGACGTTCGTTTAGATAAATGACCAAGGATTTATTTTTATATACAAGTTATAAAAAAATGTCTCTTGTAAGTGGTATACAGTAGCGGATTGAATATAGTGTGAAGTGAGAGCGTGAAAAAGGACTACGCTTAAACCCGGCTGATGGATTGGGAGTTATCGCTTTGGGTTTGCCGCGTTGATAGGATCCGTTCATTTACTGTGTTTACAGGAGGTCGTTTACAAAGCCTAATGGTCGGACGGGCAGTCAGCCGTGCGTTCGTGAAGTCTCCCTCTGCTTTCTGTTTGTGTCCTACTGTCCGGGTTCTTATAGCCTATATAAGAGAAACGCCCGAATGTAGTTGAAAGCATATGTGGCAAACAAGATTCCCCTCAATAATGGCTAGCAGTCTGATATATTTGTGTTTCTTTTAAAAGTTTTTTTTGTAGAGTGCAGCGTGTGTGCAACTTAGTTAGACGAAAATTGTTGTGCAGTAAGAGATATATGTTTTCTAATAATTGTGTAAATTTGGCTTTAATTTGTTATCTCTATGTATAATTTGTGTTTTTCTGCTATAAGTTATTATGATCTTATTATATCTAATATATAAATTAAAATTTATCGTAAATATGTATGCATATGAAAATAACCGTATATTAGTTTTAATATAGGGAAAAAAGACAACTGTTATATACCGTGCCTATGAACACTAATGTGTATGTCCCAATCCTCAAAAATACGTTGGACACTATTGTAAGTGGGGGTAATATGGTGTCTAAGTAGTCCATCACTAGCAGTGGTTTACCTACTTCACGCCGCTGGCGAGTATTGTATTTTGTTAATGTTATAAAGATTACCATTTCATATCTAATGCCTGTTTTGGTTATTCCTCATTCAGGTTACAACAAGCCCAAAATACAAATTACAGATCGGGGACACAAAAATCATACATAGATAAATAGAAAATAAAATAAATAAACAATAGATAGATAGATAGATAGATAGATAGATAGATAGATAGTGTTATATACCGTACCTATGAATACTAATGGGTATGTCCCAATCCTCATAAATACATTGGACACTATTATAAGGGGGGGGTAATATGGTGTCTAAGTAGTCCATCGCTAGCAGTGGTTTACCTACTTCACGCCGCTGGCGAGTATTGTATTTTGTTGATGTTATAAAGATTACCATTTCATTTCCAACCTCCGTTTTGTTTATACTTCATTCAGTAACCCTTTCTAGGTTACAACATTATCTATCTATCTATCTATCTATCTATTTTCCTTTTTCTTTTTCTTTTCTTTTTCTTTTCTTTATGTCTGTCTGTCTATCTATCTATCTGTGGACACTAATGGGTATGTCCCAATTCATAAATAAGTTGGATATTATTGTAAGTGGGGGTAATATGCTGTCTAAGCGGTCCACCACTAGCAGTGTTTTAACTACTTCACGCAGCTGGCGAGTATTGTATTTTGTTGATTTACCATTTAATTTCCACCATCCGTTTTGGTTATTCCTCATTCAGTAACCCGTTCTATGTTGCAACAATCTATCTATCTATCTATCTATCTATCTATCTATCTATCTATCTATCTATCTATCTTCGTTTTGCTTTTTCTTTTCTTTTTCTTTTCTTTATATCCATCTATCTATCTGTGGACACTAATGGTTATGTCCCAATCCTCATAAATACGTTGGACACTATTGTAAGTGGGGGTAATATGCTGTCTAAGTAGTCCACCACTAGTAGTGGATTACCTACTTCACGCCGCTGGCGAGTATTGTATTTTGTTAATGTTATAAAGATTACCATTTCAATTCCAACCTCCAATTACTCCTCATTCAGTAACCTTTTCTAGGTTACAAAAACAACAGAAAGAATAAATGAAAATATTCTTCCGCCGCTAAGAAAGCGGAATGATCTCATAATTCAAGGTTCTTAATATTTGGTTAAAAAAAATAGTCCCTTTTGCGAAATACGCTCAGTGCATTAATGGAATGTGGAAAGCCGTATTTAACTTCTTTTTTTTTCCAACTAAAAAAATTCAAAGCGTATGTCTTTTTCTGAAACGAATGAGAAAAATAAAATTTGGAGAAACTAAAAGGTTTTTAATCGAATTTTCAACGCGAACTTTTTTCTTATCGTACGCAACAGGTTCCTGTTCGCACAGCGAACGGAAGCGACGCAGTGTGTGCGTATTTTCCCCTCAGATTATGCGCAATGAGTGTCCATGCAAAAACTTGTACGCACACACACAGGCATATATATATATATATATATATTATGTTTTAGCACGCTTTGTGTGTGTATGAACGTATGTATGTTTATTTTGAAGAAATATCACACTTTACAGTAATATACGTATAATATTTAAACAAGCAGATCAGTTCCTAGGAAACCGACAGCCCGACAACAGCACATGAGATTTGATTATAGTGGTGAAGGTTTCGTGCAGGACCATCCACACTTTTTGAAGGGTCGAATTCAGAGACCTGGTGCACTACGTGCCACAAGGTCCCCAAACGACCCTCCACAGGTTTTGAATTCAGAGTTGTCTTTCTCCTAGACCAGTTGCCATCCAAGGCTATAGAACCCAGTCTGTCCTGCTATTTACCCATAGTTGGGGGGAGAAGAAGTGGATTTACACCTTTCTCAAGGGTATTAGCACGTAAGTGAATGTAATGGAGGCACGGTGGAGTAATGGATTGAGGAATCGGAGAGCCGAGTTCGAATAATTATATATATATATATATATATATATATTTAAGTAAAAAAACTTGGTAAACGGTGTAGATACTCCCAAGGAGAATGAAAGCTCAATGTTAATTCAGAGCGAATAATTTAATTTAAAGAAAAACAATTGGGCCTTAAAGTGGTCCGTTTTTCTTTAAATTAAATATATAAAAAAACAAACAAACGTTACGACAGTTTTTTTTATATGCACAAATCCCTTTCATAAAAAAAAAAAATAAAAATAAAAAAAAAAAAATAAATCTCCATAGACACGCATACCAGACTAGGGTTAATACATCTTCCGTTTCAAATTTAGACACCCCCACCTTTCCCTTACTTGACATCTATGAAAGTAACTCTATACTGATACTTATTATTAACACCCAACACACGCCTACCCAATTTAAACAATTCGCCCGAGCTGTTACCATGGAAATTTTGATTTCAATTTTTAAAACACGTAAATTTCAGAAATACGTTATTCCAAAAAAAAAAAAAAAAAAAAAAATTCGCTTGAAGATGGAACAGAGCTTACTTTAACTCAATTTAATTCAAATAATTATATTGAAGTTTTCGGCTCTTGTTTTGAAACATGAGACTTCTTATGTCGCGAGTTGGAATCATATTTTTAAATAAATAATTATATATATATATATATATATATATATATATATATTACTTTATGAATATTACCTTATCAGTATTGAAATTCGTACGAAAGATTCGTGCGTCGGGGACGAGACCCTTCCATCGGCCCTGATGGCAGTCTTGCGGTGTTTGGGTCAGCCTACCACTTCTTAACTGTAAGTATTTAAGTCCTGGACAGGGTCGGATTAAGCTATTCGGGGCCTGCAGCATATATTATAACGGGGACATTAAGTAAACATGCACATGAATATTATCGCATTTGCCGTATGAAAGTGGTGAGAAGCACTTTATAATTAGCTAGGTATTTGTTGAAAAAAAAAAAAAGAGTATTTAATAGCTTACCGTACGAGAAAATCCACGTCGCCAAGTATACGGTGTCATTTTTCTTTCTGTCACAACAGATTATCACATTTTGGACCTATTATCAAATATTTGTGGTTGTTATTAGATTTCCAACAGCGGACAGTTGGGAGCGGGAATTTTGGTTTAACGGTCGGCCTATTTAGCTCACTGGTTTGTTTCAATGGTACACAGATTGCGACTACAAGGCTGGTGTTCTTTGTGAACACATCAAACGTAATTGTTTGCCTGCATTACGTGATTGACGTTGGGATTTGTGAAGATACCTTACGGCATGTCTAGATGAGAAAAACGCTTACCGGTAGGAAGCAAGCTGTTTACTGGTTATCCTCAGTACTCGACCCCCCCAAACAAACCCAATATATGTTAATAACGTGATATACGGTATTTATCACACATGAATGATAATTGCAGACATTATACGGTTGTGGGGCACATCGACGTGGTGTAATGGTTAGTAAGCTGGTCTCGCTATATCGATTACGACTTAATCGTGAATTCGATCTTCACTGGGTGACCCATACTTTCGGCCTTGTACCACATCTAAGTTACGCTTAGTAAATCGCTATAATATGTGACTCGGGTCCGTAATTGCTTGCATCTCGTGACTAGGGTTCGTTAGGGCTGGCAAACTTCTCTCTACAACTTGACATTTCAGTGCTAAGAAGTAGAGGAGTTTTTGAGGGCATCTTCAGGATACAGGAAATACGACATGTGCATTATATCATTTTCATATAAATAAAGTTTTTTTCTGTTATTTTATGAAGTAATCTATTTTGAATTTATGTATCTTACTTATTATAAAACGCAGTCTGTACGTTTATATATTGGATCGGATTTCCTACATTTTTCAACCGATTTCAACAAAACTTCACAGGACTACGTAAAATTACCTTGCGGTGGTTCTGACAGTGCCAAAATTCGGAAAAACACAATTGTTTTTGCACGAAATCAATTTGAAAACACGATTAAGAGGCATCGCTGTCGAGAATGAAATGTGGACAACTCATATCGGGTTATAATTATTATAAAACCCAGGTTGTGTGTGTGCGTGTGTGTGTTCGTTTATATATGGGATCGGATTTCCTACATTTTTCAACCGATTTCAACAAAACTTCACTTTTTTTTTGGCAGGTAGTGTTTCTTATTGTCTTTCACACTTTTTTCTTTATTTTTACATTCAGAATGCTTTAAAAATTCCATTTAAAAGACAATTGTTTATAATAAAATTCTATTCAATCGGTAGACTCATAACGATTGAAAACAATGTTTTTGTTTGAGTTTGGGTTTGACCAATTCTTAAAAAAAAAAACTAATTAAGACATGCGTGTCCGTCAACCTTAAACAATAATCTTTGTCAATTTTATTTTTCAGTCTTTATGATGGTCAATACTTGATCTATCTCTTACTGTTACATCCCCGGGCAACGCCGGGCTCTACTGCTAGTATTAGATATTTTTTTTATAAACAGTTTTTTCTATTATTTTATGAAGTAATTTAATTTGAATTTATGTGTATTTGATAATTTTTATATAAACAAAGTTTTTTCTGTTTTTTTATGACGTAATCTAATTCGAGTCTATATATGTATTAGATTTTTTTTCGTTATGGATAGAAATGTTTATAAAGAAAAACTTAAGTAAATGAATAAATAGTAAAGGGTTCTAACAATTTATAGTTTATTTTAGTTATTTTTCTATTGATTGATTTGTGTTTTACAGTTTATCAACCTTTTTGCAGGTTATTTAAAGCCAGGAAACTTTTTTTTCTTCTTTTAGATTTTAAGAATTATTTGGAGATGATGATTTATTAATAGAGGTCCTACTAGTTGGGTGGGAAGAGATGGAATCAAACCATTTCCCAAGAGTATTTGCGGATAAGGGAACACAACTAGAATTGGAACTCGGCTCTCCGATTAACAATTCCGAGCCGTCATCCATTACACCACCCGCACATCCAATCTTACAGCATCTGGTATTCCCAGGTGGTCATTCACCTGGTTACTGACCAGGCACGATGTTGCTTAACTTCAGTGATCGTTGAAGAATCGGTGTTAAAACGTGATATGGCTGTAAGCATATTTATTTTCTTTCTTTCTTTCTTTCTTTTTTCTTTTTCTTTCTTTCTTTCTTTCTTTCTTTCTTTCTTTCTTTCTTTCTTTCTTTCTTTTTCTTTCTTTCTTTCTTTCTTTCAAATAAAGTACGAGTTATTTTATAACCAATTTTTTTATGTGCGTGTGTGGGGGGCATGTTTATCTTATACGCTTTCAAATACAGTATTTATTCAGCTTTTAAAACTTTTGTATGTCGATTACCGGTAAAGTTGGTTAAGAAGAGATATTTATTCCAGCAGAAAAAAAAAAAGGAATTAATATCTGCCACTCCAAGCAGGAATCTCTTGATCGATTTGAGTTGCCCGAAGCAAGGAGTAAATTTAATATTGTTGGATAGAGTTGCAAGTACGGAAGGCCAGACGATTTCCTCTATCAAAACAGCATCCTTGACTATCTTTCTTTTTTACTTTTTTTCTCCCGGAGGCAACATTATTTAATACTTACGCTTTGATGGGTACGTAAAAGATATTTCCCCTAAATTTATGGGAATATAAAAGGTAAGGACCTGGCTGTTGTGTTTTGCACGTTGTGTAGTGGTTTATGTTTCTCTGACGATAAATCTACTTAGAATCATTATATATATATATATATATATATATATATATATATATATATATATATATATATATATATATATATATATATATATATATATATATATATATATATATATATATATATATATATATATATATATATATATATATATATATATATATATATATATATAATATATATATATATATATATATATATATATATATATATATATATATATATATATATATATATAAGAATATATTATTAAATATAACAGACAATGAATGTCTATTATGTCTGATCATGAGCTGTTCGAATGTTTGCTTTAATTTCAAGTGAAAATAAAGACAAAAATTGTTCAACATTTGGGTATTTTTTTTATTAAGTTGACCTTTCGGCTTACATGAACCATCTTTCAGAGCGGTTATGCGGCCTTTTTAGCAAAGATATTAAGCATCGATTTTGTTATGGTGACAATAGTGATTTGCTTTCCCAACACACACACACACACACACACACACACACACACACACACACACACACACACACACATATATATATATAGGGGCTTGGATTGAAGAATCGGGGAGCCGAGTTCGAATTCCAGTCGAATCCATTACCTTCACTTATGTGCTAATACCCTTGGGAAAAGTGTGAATCCTCTTTTTCTCCCTCCAGCTATGGGTAAATAGCAGGACAGACTGGGTTCTATAGCCTTGGATGGCAACTGGTCTAGGAGAAGGACAACTCTGAATTCAAAACCTGCGGAGGGTCGTTTGGGGACCTTGTGGCACGTAGTGCACCAGGTCTCTCTATTTGGCCCTTCAAAATGTGTGGATGGTCCTGCACGAAACCTTCACCACTACAATCAAATCTCATGTGCTGTTGTCGGGCTGTCGGTTTCCTAGGAACTGATCTGCTTGATCTTCATACGTTGATTTCGACGGGAGAGTCGATTATATATATATATATATATATATATATATATATATATATATATATATATATATATAAAAAATTGATTAAGTCCAACAAATATTTAATATATTTTTCTCTTTAGACGTTGTTTTTATAGATACAATTTATTTAAGTAAAGGCTATTTACTTTAATTAAACTGTATTAATCACGTTTACCGCCCGTGAAATTTCGTAGAAAATATGTATTCTCCGACAGGAATCGAACCTGTATTCCTACACTGAAACCGTCATTTGATCTGGCGTGCTATACCATCTAGCTAGAGATTCTGGTTAGCAAAGTCCAAATTATTGTTTTTAAACACACAATCTTCGACGATTTTTCTCCATCGATCATATCTGCTCACGAAATGTATCTTAACGTAAACAATGACAACATATTAAATTGATTAAGTCCGACAATTATTTAACATATATTCTATTTATACGTTATTTTGATAGATACTGTTGATTTACGTAAATGTTCTGTTTTTAATTAAACAGTTTTAATTATATTTATCGGCCTGAATGTCAGATCAAATGACGCTTTCCGTATACAGGTTCGATTCCTGTTAGGGGACGCATATTTTCTTCGAAATTTCTCGAACATTCAGGCCGGCAAATTTAATTAATACTGTTTAATTAAAAAACAGAGCATTTACCTAAATAAATTGTATCTATAAAAATAACGTATAAACAGAAAAAAATATTAAATACACACACACGCACACACACACGCACGCACACACACATACATCTATATATATGTGTGTGTGTATGATATATATATATATATATATATATATATATATATATATATACTATAGTGGAACACACCTATTCTATAGTTAATAGACTCTCCCACCTATAATAAGTAGGAATAGTAAGAGTAATGTGGCGGTCGGTCAGTGAGTCGATGGCGGACGACAGTTAGTCGAACACTAAAGTATCAGCAACCACAACTTGATTACTCTGCGTTATACCTATTATATCATGTTCCTAACGTTTTGTACGTCGAACCTATTTTAGGACCGACTTAGTACAGATACAAGCCTACACAGTGAAATCACTCCAACCAATATATATATATATATATATATATATATATATATATATATATATATATATATACGCAGGTGTCAATTTCAAACACAGGTATCTACGTCCTGAAAAAAACACGGCTACACAGAAGAAGAATGTAGATGGCGAATGAAAGTTCAAATATCTCCCTGAAATTTATCTATCCTCTGTTAATGTAACTTCAGAAGACAACGAACTTTTGCAACGTTACAAGGTTCGGTTGATTTTGTTTAGCGGCATATCAACACCTCTATGAGTCATTTAATGCCGAAATATAAATATTTTGAACATAATTTTATAGCTTCAACTATAGGGTGCGATGGGTAAATTGTTGCCATTTTTATCTTTAATTTCGCGCATGCGCATTGTTTGTTTTTTTTATTTTACCAACTGCACAGTATAGTAGGGCTATTTGAGCGCCGTCTGTGAGAAAAAGAGCACCATAACGTAATTCACTCTGCCAGAAATTTGGAAACGGTATGTTATACTTCTTGGCATTCGCACCGGAAGCTCCAATACGAACATTTCAGAGTGATTGGGCGTCAATCTGGGGACAGTGCAAAGGATTAGGAAAGAGCTGGATGGCACTAATGGTGATTAAGGTGTTTGAAGTGATCACTAGTGATGGTGAAGTTATGCCTACATTCATCTTTACAAAAGGCCTCAGAATAAACACGGAGGCCTACATCAAGTGCTTTGAGGAGGTAGTGCTGTTCTGGGTCAAGAGGGTGGCTGCTGGAAGACCTTATGTCTGACAACAGGACTCTGCACCATGCCATACAAGCAAGAGAACCCACTCATGGCTGTCAAATAATTTCTGCGACTACATCACTCCTTACATTTAGCCACCTAACTCCCCAGATTGCAAGACGCTTGATTATTATGTGCGGGGCTCAGTTGAGCAAGAGACCAACAAAACTCCTTGTAATACCAAAGATGAACGTAAGGCAAGGATTATGGCAGCATTCACCTACTTACTCGGTACTATGCCGAAGAGCTCACTCGAACAGTTGCCATGGAAGTTGTTATGGGATCTTACCCATAATAATAATAATGGACTATTCCATACTTAATAAATACTGCGCTTCAAGTCAGTAGTTCAAGTAGAGTCAGTAGTTCAAGTCGAGTTAAGAGTCGAGTCAGAGGCAGTCCGAAACAGAGTCGCGTTCAGACAATTACTGCAAGACATTGGAATAGTGATACTGGTCGAGAATACATTGTTCTCTCTACTAAACCTGATTGTTCGTACTAACACTTTCTACTTCTCTGTATATATTCCTGTTTGTAATATATCTGTGTTATTCCATATCCGTGTTCGAGTTCTTCTTTATTGGTTCTACCTTGGATTATCACCTTGGTACAAGGAACTGGATCATAACAGAAGTATTTATAGAAAACGTTCACGGAGGCAACTTTACGGAGTTTGGGAAGTCATTGAAACCGAGGCGTCAGATTTGAATGAATTTGGAGAAGTTTGAAAAATAATAGATCTTGATAATCACTTTAAGCCCAGCGCGGCGAGGCCATACTGGGATGTGTCGTTATGAGCAGGCCGATTTCGGCTTTTTAGACAGGAGATGGAATCGGCGTATACCAAACCCCGCAGACAGAGCAGTAGATAGATATATAGACAGATATAGTAAACTTAGATAGATAATGGGCAACCCCCTCTCTTGAGTGGTTTGTAACACATTATTCATCGTCTCTCAGTGGCGTCTCTGTCTTTGGGCAGAGTGCACTCAGGGGCGACTCCGTCAAACGACAGAGTCGCAACTGTTGGAATTTTTGGGTGGTAGTGAGCCAGCGAAAATGAGCTGAATCATTTTATAGTTCACCAATAGAAGGGTTAACCAATCAGAAGGCTCAAAATATTCAATGCAACGTGTAATAAAGGCGGTTATGTTTTTTTCACGAATATTCACTGGCAGCCTTTGATATCGAAGACCGAAGAATTACAGAACAGCTGCTGGTGGTGGTGGTATTGGCGATATGGGCAGATTCAGTACAGTGTCTGACTCTTGAGTATTAATCTTTAATGTTGTTTTATTGAAGAGATTACGTCCTGCGTTGTATTCTATATTGATAGACTATGGTGAACATGGTTAACAAAGGTTATGAGCCCAGCACGCTTCCACTGCGCTGCATTCTATATTGATAGACTATGGTGAACATGGTTAACAGCAACTGAGGAAATTTATACTGAGAGGTGCCGGCCCTGGGGAACAACTGCCCGAGGCCGCACCCTCTCATTGCACCAGAGAGAGAGAGAGATAGAGAGAGAGAGAGAGAGAGAGAGAGAGTGAGATCGGCAACCGACACCTGGGTTGGGGTGCGGGGAATTTTTGTCCCTTGCCTGGGTGTACGCGCTCTGGTACACACTTAAAAAATCCTTGAGTCACAACTCGTCTTAGTGTGGAGGCAGAGTAAATATCTCGAAAAAAAAGATAGATATAAACATAATGATAAATTGGAAAAACACAATTGTTTTTGCACGAAATCAATTTGAAAACACGATTCTGTCGCCAGAATG